CTCTTTTTGTATAATTTTTACATAATATCTACCTAAAAAAATTAAATTGACTTTAGCATCAAAATGTTTTTTACAGTTAACACCCTCATCCAGCAAGTTATTATCCACGAAGAAAGCACAAATCCAATTAGGTTTTTTCGACATTCATGAAGTATGAGAATTTAGAATTGCCGAAATTCCCAGCTATCAAGTACCTGTTTTATTTTATTTTATTTTCATTTTGAATCAAAGGCAGTCATATTACATGGATTGTTTCCGGTTCACATCACAAAACCATGAACATTTTCACTTGCAAGTAAAACCCGAGGAATACAACAGCTAGTTAATTGCGTATTTGAAGCTGCAAAAGAAAATTAATTTACAATTTTCTTATGAATTCAAGTGATAATAATATTTAAAAAATCAAAAGAGATACTAGAAAGAATAATAATAGACACCAGTTAAAAATAAAATGAATAACGTTAAATCTTAAGAAATCATGATAAGAAAAAAAAATTAAATCATAGTATTCAAATCTATTTTAGAATTAACCTGAATCATAGCTGAAAGGATTAATTCGAAATAAAACTTGAGTAATGGATTAACTAGGTCACTCTAAAGTTAACTTTTAAAAAATAATTTTTTTAAAAAAATAATTCAAACAATATTGTTTTAATTACTTTTTTTTAAAATTATTAGATTTTATACGAGTTGACTGGATTAAATTGAATCAATATATTTTCTATTCATTTTTAAATATAAACATATGTATACCTAAATTAATCATGTTCTAGATTAATTTGTCGAGTTATTTAAATTTTACAACTAATATCCAAATATACATATGGAACATTAGGTTAATGCCATATGTGTTTTTAATAAATTAATTAGTTAATTCTTTTGTTTTTTTTTTTAAAAATACTAAATCTTTATGTTTATACTTGATTGTAACTTGACTCCTGTGTTGTTTTCATTATAACTATTTTTAAATGTAATTCATTTGTTGTAAGATTTCTTTCTTTACACGTATGACATGGGATGGATCGATTTTTAATTAATAATTTTTAATATATAACATGATATTATTGGTTTGTATTGAAGTATTTTATATGTATGGCTAATTCACACACACATATATATATCAACTTATCAAGAATTGCATCTGTTTTACTAAAGTATTAATTAAATTAGATTTGAATATATTTAGATACCATATATACCTCTATTTTGTTTTCTTTTCTGAACTGTTCTTTTAACGATAAAAATAATTGAAATTAATAAGTAAACTATTTATACTCATTTTGAGGAGAATGCTCGCTGTAATTTACTTTGATCACTAACTAATATGGAGTATAAAAATTACAAGAACACAATATCAAGAAGTAGAGGAGGTTGCTAAATTAAATTAAATTATGCAATGCATCATTAATCTTCATGTAACTATATGGAAGTAGAATTTAAAGATGTTAACTTTATATAGAAAACAAATTAGGGTATCAGTGTCGGCAGGAAGGGGATACAGTAATAAAATATGGAACTCTGTGCTTGCATTGATAATATTATATCCAAAAACGAGGACGTGGGCTTATTAACATGCATTGGTTACAAACACAGCTATAAAAGGCATAATTAGAGTTCTTTACAAGTAATATATACAAACACTAGCTAGGGTCATATTTTTTTATTAAAATTAGTAAAAATTAATAAAAATAAAAATACATATGAAATTAATTAAATAGAAGAAAAATAGAAGAAAATATTATCTAAAGCCAACATATTATAAGTGTTATTTAAAAATAATTTTTAAAAAATAAAAAAATATTATTTTAACAATTTTTCATCACTGCTATACCTGAAACACCTGAACTCTAAGGAGGTGGCGAAAGGGCTACCAATCATGCGATGTATTAATCTTAACTGTAACTTGCTTAAAGAACAGTGTTTACACTACGGTCCAAAAATATTTTTAAAAACATTTAATTTTTTATATTTTTTACCTTAGATTAATATATTTTTAAATTATTTTATTATATTTTCAAATAAAAAATACCTTAAAAAACAATCATTACCGCATTCTCCGCAGCACCCCCTTACATGAAGCGCAGATAAAATTTGCCGCGGTGTGTTTGCGCCTTTGCGGTGATGATATGATATCCAAAAACAAGGGTAAAAGAGATGCAGCATATGAGCCAGCCGAAATCATTTATCTATCCATAACGAAGAAACAAGACAAAACATTCTCTAATCACACTTCCAGATTTTGGCATGTCTCGCCATCCAATATTAACTACAATATGCTAACTTGCTAGTATATAAACCATATACAGATAGGTCACCCCAAGACAAAAAAGAAAATATCAAAATCACCTCCAATTGTTTGGCCCTCTTTTACTCTCCCAATTCAGCTTCCAGGCCTCTCTCTATACCGTACCCTGAACCTCTCAAACTATCAATATCCCCAAAAAATGTCCATCCAGCCAAGTGGCAGGAGACCCACAAAATACACAACGGCCTCCCCAGGGGCAGTGAGCGCTTGACCAAAATCCCGTTGCGGGTGCTAAATGATAATGCTGCTTGTTATTGTTAGAGATACGTACTTCCTTTTGGTCTTCGTATATTCTTCAATGACAAACTATAGAAGAGACTCCCAGAGGGTAAGAGAATGTGTTGGCATATTCAAAGGTGAGAGTGCCGCCGGTTACCAAAGGCTTTCCATCGTTAACAAGGCAGTCATTGTAGCGAAGGCGCTTGAATATCTTGGGGTCGATGAGGCGAACAGAGCTGAACCAGCCACAGTTGAGGTGAATTCCGGAGATGTCACAACCAGTGGCACACATGTTCATGATCTGAACAGTGTAAGTAGGTACGCCACTGGAAAGAGGGGCTGTGGGTCCCTGACTTACCACTATATCAGCGCGGGTACACTTTTCTCCTATCCTGTTAGGCTCCTCCATTGCCATTGCTGCGTAAAGCAGATGCAAAAAAGATATAAAAAAGTGAGCTTTTTTTATCAAACTCCATGATAGTGAAAGCTATGTTCTCTTTTTATATATATTTAAAGGTAATCGCACACTTGGCAGCCTCGTTGAAACGTAATGTGAACACAACCAACAGACCCACCAATAAGGGAATCGTCAGCAGACAAAAAATACTTTTTGGAGGGGAATTATATAGGAAAAAGGAACAGACAAAATTTAACTCAAAAGGCTAGATTAGGGTAGGGGTGCATGATGCCTCCTTTATTCAAAGTTCAACGTTTCCCTTCCCCATGTACATCCACTTTCATTGAAATCGAAAACCCAATCAAAACTTTTGGCTCCCTCTCTTCGTAATAAACATAAAATAGTTTAACCATGCAAAATCAATCTCAACTGGCATGTCCCAAAACAATTTGCCAAGGCACTGATCGCAACTTTCAACAAAAAGACTAATAGAAGGTCACAGAAACACGAAGGGATTCTAAATTCCATCAAGAAGATACTCTCAAGAACGCAATTGTTGAAGGAAAAAAAGGGCGGAGAGCAGGGGACCACAGTTTGCCAGCGGTGCACGTTAGCATGAGACGCAACAAAAAAAAAAAAAAACACAGACGTGCCCCTCTGACAAATATATCGTACGCACATCTGAATAATGAGACGACGATAATTACTTGCTGGAAAAATAAATAGAAGTTGTTTCACTTGTAAACAAATGGAGTGTCAAAGACTGATAGTTTTCAGGACCGGCCCCTCACAACAATCAACCTACGCTCAAAACAATCAAAAACCCACCCACAATATCCCACAATTCTTTTGATCTCTATTTATTTCATTTCGAAAATATTAAAAAAAAAATCAATAACCACTTAATTTTTATTTTTTGACATGCAAAAAATAAAAATTACAAAACATGAAACCTTACAGCGAACAAGGAGCTTGCGATGTGGGAAAGGGACCGTGTAGTTCCCTCCCTCTTGAAGAAATACGTGACTCGACGAACCCATGAATCCACCGTCGTCTTTAGCCAAACCTGGAAATTGTTAAAAACAATTGATTAATTAGAAGAATGAAAACAGATAAGATCGATCAGGTATTTTGGTTTTTATAAATAAAATAAAAAATGAAGACAAGGAAAAAAAAAAACAAATGGAACAAACATAGAGAACCCCTGATGTCTCAGAAAGATAGGCCCCCAATCCACTAAAACATATTAAAAGCAAAGCAGAACCGACCAGAACAATAATTAAAAATGATGATGATTATGATAAATCATTCGTTTTGGTAAGAATCCATAAAAATAAATAAAAAAATCAGGGACGAACCAGAGGAAAATGAAAACGTGGATAGTAGTATAGCGAGCAAGAAGATCATCACCAAAACGACGCCGATTGTCTTCGAAACCACAGTTGTCATCGTCGAAGAAGCAAAACTTATTGAGACTCAAAAAACCAAAAAGGAACCAAAAGCTTCTCTTCTCTTTCTCTTTTCTTCTTCCTCTTCTTGAAACTCTCGAAAGAAAAGGCGTCTCCGAAAAGTCAAAGACTATGAGATAGACTGACTAGTGATAATAACAGCTCGAAACTCAGTGAAAACAAAACGAGGGAGTCTGGCTCGGAGATAGCTTTGGTTTTTGATAAGATGTTTCTCTCTCTCTCTCTCTCTTGCTGTCTTCTCTGAAATCTGCATCAAAGAACGAGGGAGATGTTATTATTCATTAGTCGTCGTGTGTGCGTGTGTGTATTTCACATCAAAGAACAACCGTCAGATTATAAAAGAAACAAATGGATGAGATTTGACTTTCAAAACAGCTAAGACAACGACGACTAAACCGTCAGATTATAAAAGAAACAAATGGTTGAGATTTGACTTTCAAAACAGCTAAGACGACGACGACGACGACTACTACTACCTATAAAACCTGTCTAGGTCGCGGTCTCACGAGGGAGGGAGAAGATGCTTTTCAAAACAAGACTAAACGACGGCGATTTGCAGCAGAGCTGGAAACAAAGCATGAAAAAGGAGGAAGAACAAAATAGCAAGAGTTTTCAAAGGAGGAAGTTGTTGAAGGAAGAGAAAGGTGTTTGGTTGTGATAGAAAAGGAAAACACGTATTTTCCAGGAAAACTTTATTTGAAAAAAAAAAAACAAAGCAATGACAGCTACTGCTGGAAACAGCGGAATTTACTGCGCTATAACAGTGTAGACAAAACACAGAGAGAGAGAGGTTTAAGAGACAAAAATTGCAGAGACAGAGAGAAAGAGGATCGTTAAAGCCAGAAATGACAAAACATCAGAATCCTCCTCTAAACACTGCATTTATACCTCATACTCTTTAAATACACCGTATACAATTACGTACATCCATACAAATGGTGTGTATGTGTACAGCATACGTACTCAGGTTACGGAGCGTTCACTGATTCTTCCTTCTTCACCCCCGAGAGAGATCCATGCAGAACAATCAACACCGAAACGCGTGCGTTTTGTTGATGACAGAGAGAGAGATTAGGGTTTGGTTTGAAGGCTCGGTTTTTGAGTTGAGAGAGAGAGAGAGAGAGCAAATGCTGTGTGTATCTGCTGCTCTGCTTCTTTTTTTAATGATTGATCAAGGGTTAACTAGGGTCAGGGTTAAAGCGTGGAGTGAACGTTGGAGTTTTGGCTGTGGATGGTTGGTTTTTTAACTGGGGTTAAAATGTGCACGTGGTTGTGTTACTTAAGGAGGATGGATACTGATAACGACGACGACGATGATGGGTATTAAATTAAGCAAGGGGTGAGAGGGAAGAGACAAACAACATTGCTCGTGTGGGTTGACAGTTACAAGAATCTAATCATGATTCCGAGCTACGGGTTCATTGCCCTGTTCATTCCATTGTTAACAATGCCCGCCTCGGCTCAAGCCAGTTCATGTTGATTTCGAGCTGAATCGAATTACTTTGATTTTTCTATTTTTATGAGCATATCAACGCATAACAAAAATGATGCAAAATACAAATAAAATCGATACCCAGAAAACCATATATGTTTATAATAAACCCTCGACAATATCTGAAACTTAGCTCTTCTCGGGCATAGATCAGGAAGTCACATATTCTTTCGACATCTGCAAAAGCATGTCTCATGAAAAGGATGAATAGCCGGAATGTGAGGAGAAACTTTTTATTTTGGTTGCTTTCCTGGATGCTCACGGAGGTTTTTGACTTGCTGACAGTAAATGAAGCTCAAACGATGAGGGTCTTGTATTTTTGTAGGTATTCTTTGATGGTGACTTTAGATGCTCGCGGAGGTGTTCCAGCGCAGTCGTCGAGAAGAATATACTGATACAAATTGTCTTCTTCTCCTTCTTTTGTCATGGACCCAACACTAACATGTCAAAGTCGGACGATGAAGGCAGACATAATTCGTGAGAAATGGCTACACAAGACCTTGAGGAATTGGAGACGATCTAAACCTAACATATATATATATATATATATATATATTGAATGATAAAATTATTTTATTATTTTGTTGAATAGTAAATAATTGTTTTACAATAAATATCTGGATACTTGGAAACTGGTGAATAAAATATAAATTTTTTAATTTTTTATTTAAAAATAATAGATAAGTCATGAAAGATAAAAAAATCCAACATGTGAATTTCCAATTTTATCCATAAATTTAACATCCATCACAAAGGCAACCTTCTCCGGTTGGCTAAAGAGTTAAAAGAATTTAAGAGGGTAATTTGAAAGTATTTCTTCTATTTAGTTATGTTTAAAAGTATTATTTGTTTGAAAATATATTAAAATATTTTTTTTATTTTTAAAAAATTATTTTTAATATCAATATATTAAAATAATCTAAAAACAATAGAAAAATTAATGTAAAAATTTAATTTTTTTAAAATATAAAAATAAACAGTAACTAAAACTTATATCCGGTGGTCCATTGTTTCTACGACAGCTGATTTGCGGTTGCCGTTTTGGTTTCATATTGGGGAATTTTTTGGCTGTAAGTTTGGGTATTGCTGGAGCAAGGAGAATAAGGGATTGGAGTACAGTTGGTTCTTGTTATACTAATGATGTTTTCTGAACTACTTTTTGGTATTTAATTTTCTTTAAAAAATTGGAAATAAATATTTTAATAAAAATTGTTTTTTTACCATTGTCGGTTGAGATTCGAAATCTGAAAGATAACTCGGAGAGCAAAACCACTTTATAACCAAGTTGGATCCTCAAAAGCAAAGATGATTGGCTACCATTCCTTTCTAAAACTACATAGTGAAACATTTCCAAAAAAATAAATAAATAAGTATACAAACTTTTTTTCTTTTTCTCTTTTAATTTCATTTTTTAATATTTTTTTAATTTTAAATTAATTATCAAAGTATTTTATAAAATTATCATTATCTTATAATTAATTGAAACACAATTCTTTATAACAATCAATTTTTGTTATAATATTATTAAATAAAAATTAATTTAATAAAAATAGTTAAAAAACAAAATTTTAAATCAGATTACAAGTTTTAAAGTTAAATCACAAGATTCAAATTGATTTAATTTATTGTCATTTTAATATAAAAAAATATATCATCTTAATTTTTTTTTTAAAAAAACCAAACCTCATTAAATTAACTGAATCAATCATGTTAAGTAAACTTTAATACTAATTCTAAAAATAAACTAGTCAATAAATCTGGTCGTGAGATCATGTTATGCTTTTGGCTATTCATCCATGGTGACTAGAGAAAGCTACTTCCAAAGCATCAGAAAAAAGGTTAGATTTCAGCATATCATGTTAAATATAAACCATGAGGGATCTTGTTTTTAAGCCCAATAAGTAGTCTCGGTAATTAAATTTTAATTTTAATTTTAATGTTGAGATTATAGGGTTGAGTTCTATAACTAATTCAGTAATTTTTTTTTAAATCGTTTCGAATATCAAGAAAATGATGTGGTTAAAAAGGTATCTATGTCTTTCTTTGATTATCAAGCTTGAATCTTCAGAAACATTTTATAAGAACAATGAGTAATGGCACCTTGCACCCAAAATAAAAAATAATAATAAAGAAAAATAAAGTAATTGCTACATCGAAAACGTTTCGATGAACAATTCCATAGCTGCCTAGTATGGCGAGAGAAAAGGAGGGAGTTAAATTTTGGAAGAGAAAAGGAAAGGCATGATTCTGAAGCTACATGGGCTGAAAACAATGGTATAAAGAACAAACAGCTCAGATTTGAGTTTTAAATAAGCTGTTTGATACTCATTGTAATATTCAACTCAACAAATAATAAAGATTCAAGTGTTTTTGAATGCCAAAAATAATGGATTTGAGTTCAGGAGGTAATGAGTTTGACCCTTTCAACACCCATTTGTTGGGCATGGAAGAATTAGCATGAAAACCTAATCCAAGGAGAGAGGGAAATAGACGGGTTTCAAATGGAGTTTTTTAAAAGTTTAATTTCTTTATTTTAAATTAATGTTTTAGGTGTTTTTATATTGTTTAGATGTAATTATGTCAAAAATAAATTTTTAAAAAATAATAAAAAAATATTATTAATAATAAAATACTTTTAAAATAAAAAATATTTTGAAAAATAATTATTATCACTATCTCAAATAACTTCAAAATCACACTAGAAAAGATAAGATTTATTTGACATCCTTAAATAATTCTACTATCAACAAAAAAAAAAAATATATTATATATAAAGAAAAAATATATAAAGTTAATTTCTAAATTCAATCCCAAAACCCCTTATATACCATCTTTCATGAACAAGGCCGGAACAAAAATTTAGAATTGGAGGGTTAAAAAGAAAATAAGTGATTTTTAAAGGGGCAAATCATTATAATCCTTTTCAAATTTTAGGAATGTCATAGCCCCAACTTGTAACCACCCAATATAATTTCACTTCTACTCATAAACTCAACTATTTATTAACTCAAAGAAATCATCATTTGTACTTAAAGTTTGGCTCAATAATCATGGAAGGGACTTGTTCTTTTCTTTTAGTACTCGAATTTGACTTTTTATGTGCATATGCCTGTTATTCTCATAATATTTTACTTATCTATTAAGCTTACAAGATATTTACTGAAAAAATATTTACTGAATCTAGAAACTGAATCTAGAAATTAGTCCATTGATATCACATTTTATATTTTACAAGCATGATTGATATCTTGTTTCTAAAACACAACAAGATTAAGCCATAAACTATATCGTTTTGCTATTGTTTTCAAACGGCATCAATCCCTAAAAATGCTAATTTGAAAAGGAAAAAATAAAAACCATTATGTTTGGTGAACCTAGCCCTAGGTCAACACCATCAGCAGCTCTATATCTCATATTCTCTTACCTATTTGTACAAGCAAATCATTTATAGCTAAGAGACGCTAATCTATTGTATTATAAGCTAACCAAATTTGGCGATCAAGTTAACTTGATCCTAGCAATGTATGGCATGTTAAATAATATTTCTTATTTTTTAAAATTTATTTTTAACATTACATTAAAACAATAAAAAAACACAAAAAAATAATTTTTAAAAACATTTCTGATTTACAAGTCCAATTAAAAATCATCTTCTTAGTCTTGCAATTTAAAAAAAAATTTACCACGTAAGCAAACAGTATTTTACCCAGGAAAAACTTCAGATTTACAAGTCCAATTGATAATCGAAACAATAAAACCCAAATCCAGACTATGAACGCCTTGGGTAGTGAATGGGCTACAGATGATTTTTCTCTGAGTGCGAACTAGCCCCCCACTAACCAATCAATGCTTGACGCTGGAGTGGTTATGAACTGGATTAAAAAAAAAGTGTTAATTATTTTACAGCCAGCTTCCCAGGATGATCAACAGGCCTTGAACTGGAGAATTGTTAGTTACATTTTGGGCGAGCAAAATTCAGATCAACTCAGCTGGTACCAGGAAATGCTAGCTAACACTTAATTAGTGAGAGATGCATGCAGTTAATATGGCAAGTGACTCATCTACCACTGTGACTGTCCAAACTCAATTAACAGGGGATGCATGCAGGACTTGTATACATAATTTACAAAACTCAATCAATGCAGCAATGACTACAGCTAAGATATGGGACCTCTCACAATCATAAATGAAGCTCTTCTCCTCCCCGATTTCATCAAATCGCAGGACATGAGCCTGAACAAAATTTGGTGGCCAACACCAAAACTACAGCTTTGCAAGCAATTGCTGAAAAGAGAGAGGAGGATACCAGGCCAGGTGCAGGAGAAAGGAATGGTCAGTGGTTAGCATATTTTTGGAAGCCCAAATATCTCTGCCTAAGGTCACGATGAAGACCAGACACTATATAGAGCAAGATCAATCTGCACAAGATATAACTTGTGGAAGAGATTGATATACAGAGCTCTCAACGTCCTTTGAGATAAGGAGATTTCATCTTCTCCAACAGCCTGACCTTGTCAAGCAACTCTTGAATAGTATTTGATGCATCCTGCAGGGATACAACTCATGAGTTGTCCATCTATGATCAATAAGAAAAAAATATTCAAAAAGCACGGACAAGTTGTTCCACCCAGTGGTGAAAAGGGGGAGAGGTGATGCAGAAAACCTTAAGCTTCTTTCTCAAATTCTCCTCCTCCTGGTCTCGCCTGACCCTCTCCTCTGAGAATATATCAATCAGACTTTCCTGTTCCTTGTTCAATTCTTCAAGCTTGCGCTGCGCTTCCTGCAACTGAAGAAGCAGAGAGAGATTTGAAGTTTCAGGAGAACTCAAATTCATCATGTCATGAAGAAAACAATGG